GATATAATTAAGAAGACCAGTGGTCCCAGTACAGACCCCTATGGTACTCCACTAATTACATCATTGATATAATTGAGAAGACCGCTTGTCCCAGTACAGACCCCTGTGGTACTCCAGTAATTACATCATGATATAATTAAGAGCAGAAGTGGTCCCAGTACAGACCCCTGTGGTTCTCAACTAATTACATTATTTCAGCCCTTATTAGTATGTTTTTGTCTATGTAATATCTAATACGCAGTCTAAAGACTTGAGGTTTCCCGAATGCCTCCCACCTGTAATTGAGGATTAGTTTATGGGGAACTTTATCAGAAGCTTTATGAAAATCTAAACACACCGTATAATCTGCCCTACACATATCCATTACTGTTGTTCTTGTTTACTACAGAAATCGGTGAGACAACATTTTGCTTGAAAATGTCTTTCCTAAAAACAGCCTTTAAGTCAACTTGTTTTATCTGTCTTTTCTAAACAGGTCGACTATTTAATGTAGGCAATCCTCTACTTCGTTTCTAATAATTGTCTCCTTTACCTTACATCTACAAGAAATCGTCTTTACTGGGCTTTAATTAGGCTGCACAGAGGCCCAGTGGTGAGCATTGCTGCCTCGTAGAGCTGGGGCCCTGGGTTCAGTTCTGGACCTGGGCTGCTGTCTGTGTGGAGTTTGTATGTTCTGCCTGTGTTTGTGTGGGTTTCCACTGGGTGCTCCAGTTTTCTCCCTCAGGCCAAAGACGCACTGGTAGGTTAGTCAGCTTCTGGGAAAACTGGCCCTGCTGTGAGAGTGTGTGTATGTCTGTGTGCGTGCGTGTGTGTATGTGGGTGTGGGTGGGTGTGTGGGTGTGTGTGTGTGTGTGTGTGCCCTGCCATGCACTTGCAGGTCCCATCCAGGGTGTATCGTGCTTTGTTCCCGTTGCCTGCTGGGATAGGCTCCAGTTCCCTATTGACCCAGAATCCTTTCTTTCGCTGATACGTCCTTATTTACCGAAGTCCGCCTCTGTGTCCACCGCAGAGGGCTTGAACATGAGGAGAGGGCTGTCACGTGGAGCAGGGTAGTAGCTGTACTTTTAAAGGGCAAAAATAGGGGGCCGACTGCACCACCAAGCTCAATAGAGGACCACGACCCCTCACTTCTATAGTCTGGGGTCTCCGAAGTCCCAGGTTCTTTAACTGGGTGGGCAGCAGTGATGTCAGTGACAGGAAGTGCACAGCACTCTAACCCACAAGCTTTATTCTCATACAGACTAGGAATGCTCAACAAACAAAACACGCATAAAAAGATCGC